TCAATAAAATAATATTTTATAATTTAACACTTTGCTTCAAATATCATTTACCACCTTTATAACTCAATACCAATTGCAATAACATAAACTGAAAAGTAATTCATCAAGGAACAATGCCTTCTTTAATCCAAATTATTTGCAAATGAATAATCCAAAATGTGATTATTTCCAAAAAATATCAAATCAACAAACACACGGAATTCACATAAAAAATACAAGTGAAAATCACACCAAATTATCGTATAAAATACAAACTCGACAAAGAAGGAATGAGGCATGAAAAATCAAGGTTTACTAAGTTCCAACAATTTTTCAATTTAATACATAAGGGCATCTACGAATTTCAACCGATATAATTTGCACATATAAACCAAGTACGTACTCGTCACCTCGCGTACATAGTTTTCAACTACACAATTTCCGCATAAGACTCAATGCCTAAGGGGTAATTCCCCCACTCAAGGTTAGGCAAGATATTTACCTCGACGAAACTAAGTCAATGCTTTAAATGATCTTTGCGAGTGAAGCCACCTCCGGACGGCTCAAATCGGAAATTTGCCCCTTAAAAATACTACGATGGTCCATCACACCAAATAAATTTTAATCTACAAAAATGTAACACAATTGCACCAATATTAGTAAACAAATTTCCAGATTTTTGGTCATTTAGACATTTTATCAAACACCTAGAGTACATAGCATTTTGCTACCTCTAGTAATGATGTTTCTTCATCTAATAATCTCTCCTTCCCACCAACAACAGATACTAAACCAATTTTTGTCTACAAGCAACCTTCTTTAGCACCATTAGAATCATCAATGAACTCACATCCACCCAATTGTTGCTAATTAATTTATTATAATATCTCTACAACACCCAATAATCTAGTTTAAATATTTATGGCTTCCAAGCACCATCCAATAAGTGTTAATACTTATTTCTTGCTCACATACGCATAATAAAATCCATACATATAAGTCTAAGGATGAAGGATTACATTTTTGGAAAAAATCTTGCAAAACCCTCCTTTGAGTTCTTGGAGTAATTTCTTGAAGATCTAAGTATTTTATGTGTAGATTTCATCAATACTAGTGTAGAAATGATGGAATTTCATACCAAGATAATGGAGATTGCTTAACTTGAAAAAGGGAGGAGTTGGTGGTCTTGAGTGAGTGGAGAAGAGCTCCAAACTTCGTCCAAATGAAGCGGGAAAAATGAACCCCAAAATTGTATCTATAGGCCGAGATTTTTGGGTTTCGGATACTGCTCCGGATGCTATGGCAGCACTTCACTGCCAGCCCTTCTTTCGGATGTGGCCCCGGATGCTTCGCATCTACAGTCTCCTCTGCCAGCCTTTGGTAATTTGGTCATAATTGCTTGTAAAAATGTCCAAATGACGAACGGTTTGAAGCGTTAGAAACTAGACTCAAAGATCTATTATTTGATAGGTTGTCCATCGCATAACTCCTTATATATATGTAGATACCCTCATCCTAAATTATGTCTTATGCTGAAACATAACAAATCGATCCGGAATGACCTCAAATTTTGCACACAAGTCATAAATGACATAACAAAGCTATTCAAATTTTCGGAATCGATGTCCAAGCCCTATACATCAAGGTCAACTCCCGGTCAACACTTTATTTTAAGTTTCTTAAATAAGGATTGTTCTTCCAATTTAATTCTGAACCTTCCAAAACCAAACTCAATCGCACACGCAAGTCATAATACATATTATGAAGTTAGTCGGGATCTTAAGTCGTTCTCAAAACGACAAGTCGGGTCGTTACAATTTATAATTTATTTTAGATATTTACCAATAAATGATAGTTAATAGAATGAACTACAATTATCGCTTAAATTGATTAGAAGGAGTAAATATTTTTGACACCATTAATGCTCAAAACTTAAACTATTATGTTATGTGCATTTATTTCTTTTTACTGTTTGTGATGATAGCCAAATTAAAATTTGTGGACCTCAACATCCAATAGTCCATCACTTTATTTTTTGTGCTCTTCTTCCTTTATTTTTTTTTTAAATTCAGTATTTTTTGTATTAAATGATTAATTTGTTGTTGAGAAAGTAAATTTTATTATTAGTGTAAATATTTTATAAAAAATTAAAATTCTTTCAATATGATTTTGCCTTAGACCACGAGATCCGTTAAACCGCCCCTGATTGTATCCTATATTTTTAAAGATTTTTTACTCCTTCTACTAAAGATATTAACTTTCTTTTCTTTTGCAGTTCCTTTCAAAAAGTTTGGTCTTTTCTTGTAAATGGAAATTTTCAATGCAGTATTTCGAACTATTATAAACTTATATGCATCTAAATCTGGTTTATTGTGACAGAGAGGGTAATTATACTATTTGTCACTGGTGTTTTAAAAGGCGTGGGCGTAAGGCAAGTCATTTTACATATGACTCAGCGGGGCGTAAGCCCCGAGGCGCGGGACGTAAGCCCCATAGGTATTTAATTTTTAATATTTTATAAAATAATATAATGACAGTAAATATTTATAAACAGGTAAAATTGCATAAAAATTAAAAAAAACTATATATATGTATGCTCCATTCCCACAAAAAACTAATCAAAATAATCTATTATACGTTACTTACAAGCACAAGTAATTTGAGTGTAAAAGAATAAAGTTTTTTATATGGAGAAACAAAAAGGATGATTAATCTGCAATTTGAACTTTGAATTTGCTGCTATGAAGAAGAATGTAGTTCTCTTTGTATTTGTAAAAAAAATTAATTATTCGTTGCTTTTGGAAGATATTAGCAGACTAGTGGATAAGATAAAAAATTGAAAAAATCATGAATTAGGGTTTAAATCAATAAAAAAGGTCTTTACTTTTAAATCTAATACTTTTGAGTTCATTTTTAAACCTTTTGAGTAATTACCAAACGGACTTTTGAGAATTTGGGTGTTATATGAATAACTAATTCAATAAATTTTGTTTTAATTTGAAAAAGTCTCGGGGGCTTACTCCTTACTAAAAAAATGCGTCTCGAACGCCCGGGCGTACACCTCGAACGCCCGGGAGTACGCCCCAAATTGCGATGTGTACGCCTCTTAAAACTTTCGCCCCACACCATCGCCCCGGGACGTTTTTGAAACGCCTCGCCCCAGAGCTCGCTCCAAAAACGCTTTTAAAAAATAGAGCTTGTTACTGAATATCCATCTACTTGAGTATAAATTGGATTTTTCTATTGAAACCACTAGAGCAGTAATTTTTCAAAATTCTTATTGCCCTGGTTGGTTAGTTGTGGTTTAAATAATTACCATAAACCATATCATCTCACTTCGGAAAAAATTATACTTACATCAAGTGTGTTTATACTAAAATTTAGTGACTAAACCAATAAACACATGAAATGTATGAGCCCTTATCACCTCACTCCGCTTAATCATGGTAACTAATGTGCTTTAACCTAAACAGAGTAGGGATGAGTATGTTTTTTCCGTGCTATATATATGGGCCAAAGTTTCGGTAAAGGGGCAAAATCAAAAATAGCCAGGCTTACATCTGGTAATTGAAAAATAGCCGCAGTTTAAAAAATAATCAAAATTTAGTCATTTATTCATTTAAAAATAAAATTTGAACAAAAATACCCTTAAAATCCGTAAAAATTTCGGCATAATATGTTGGAGTTCAAATTTTTTACATATACGATTCTACCATAATGTGCTGGATTTTCATAATGTGTTGGAGTTCCAACATAATATGCTGGAAGTTTATACGCGGGAGCTTCATAATCCAGCATATTATGCTAAAACTTTCTATGTGCTGGAGTTCCAACATAATATGTTGGAAGTTCATACGTAGGAGCTCCATAATTCAGCATATTATGCTGAAACTTTCTGTGTTTCAGCAAAATAGTGACTATTTTTCAATAGTTTTACAACTATATTTCATTTACCAGTCCGAAAACTGACTAGCCCGTGTTATAAAGTAACTACTAGTATTGCTTATGAATTTTATACCATTAAAAACTGGAAAACATTTGAGAATGTAACTGAACAGCGTTGAAATAGACTTGTTATCTCAACTTCATTTGCCCCTAAAAGATGGATAAAAGTTCTTCTCCGGGACCACTTTGGCCAGTAGGATGCAGCATTTGCCGTTTGTTTAACTTATTCATATCAAACGAGTTTAAGTATAAATATCTCCTATTTTCGTTTAAAAAGAACACACTATAGTGTACCAAATACTTATCTACACTCGTATATGATACGTACTATGTAGCATAATCCACCATGTAATTTTTAACAACCCACCCTTTTGTTGCTTGGATTTGATTGATTTTCAGCTTCACCAATTTACACCATTATACAAAGCGTGGTGTCCAATCCTTCCCATGAAATATCCTATCATACTAAAACTGAAACAATCTTTTTACTACTCATATTTTTAAAGACTTGTAATTTGCTGGAACATCTTTTGTGGACCCAAAGGAAAACCTTACGGCTACCTTTTAAAACCAAACTTGATGAATATAAGTGTGACCATATAGTTACATCAAATATATATTAGGCTAAAAAAGATAATTGTAAGTTGTGTGGATGGCCTTTATTTCATTAGATAATGCCCCACTTGAGTGGATTTGGAAAGTGGAATTCCATTTTCCAATTCCAATACAAATTGCTTAGTCCCGTACTAAGTCCTATTTTGCCAAATTTCAATGTAGTGAGCATGCATTCTTGATTCCCCATTTCAAAAACAGGATCCCGGCTTTTGATACTACTTTGTATCATCACATCTTCTACTACATCATTGTTGCACAAGAAAGTTTTGGGCTCTGCAAAAAAGCAATACTACATATTTTGAATGCATTTGATGATCAACCCAAAACCTTGGTGTAGTCACTCTAGGAATCGAGCTACATGGTTCAATTGAATCACATTCCTCAAACTATATTGAGAAAAAAGTATAAAGCAAATGGTTTTTTTTGTATATATATATATATATATAAAAGTTATTGAATTCACATGACACAACTGAAGTTGTAGCGGCAAATGTGGCTCAAAATTTGATTTAGGACACAAGTCTGAGTACTAGTTATGGTGTTCTGGCATTATTTTGAATCCCCTTATTCGAATTTCCAACTCCATCACTAGTCACACGGGTATAAGAATTATATATTGAGGTTGGTTCTGATATTATGTGAAGGATACAAACGCCATGCAAAACCTTAAAGGCAATGAATGAAGCACTCTAAAAAAAAGGGCAGCTCAGTGCACAAGGCATCTCATGTTCACGCAGGGCTCGGGAAAGGGCCGCACCCCAACTGTGATGTAGACAGTCAACCCTAATGCAAGCATTAGTGACTGCTTCCACGACTTTTATAAATGGATCTTTACACAAATAGCCAGTCATATTCCCATTTGAAAATTCATAAGGCTGGGTTTCAAATCTCAATATAGAAAATGCAGGAGGAAATTGTATTTGTTTGTAAAACTGGCTAGACTTCTTGGAAATTCACAAACTGCACCAACCCTTTTTCTCTTTTTAATTTCATTTGGTGGGGAATGGGGTTTTAGAAAAGCCAGAGGGTATTGAGGGGACCGCAAGTTAATGTTAGCGGCAAATTCGTGTATATTGAACTTAGAAGCAATATATTGCTTTCCATGTAAACTTTCCCAAAAAAGTATAATTTTAACTTCTAAAAGAGAAAAAAACAGGGGCCAGCATCTGCATATAATAATCTCAACTCCAAGACCTCATCATTAATATCTCCTTAAACTTCCCCATTACACAGCTAAATAACTCATCAAAAGAATAATTAATAAATTAAAAGGAGAGAAAAAGGTGAGAAGCACTCAATTCCAAGAGGGAACCAAATCAAAATTGAAGGATGAGAAGAAAGAATAAGAAGTATCTCAGACAAAGTAGTCAAACTTTTACAGCCCAAGAAAACAAAATCTAGGGCCTTCATAGAATAAAGAGCTATATAATTAAAAATACTATTAAAGAAAAAAAACTGAAGATTTCTCCCTAATTATCATTTTATGTGCAGACACCCTTTTTGATTCTTGAAAGGTCTGCAGACTAAATCTTTATGAATAGGAAAGTGTAATGTTTAAGGCCAACTCATTAACTTCTCGTGTTTGCTTTTTCTTTTCATTTAGACTTAGGAATTCCCTTTTTTCCCTTTCCACTTTTTCAATTCCAGCATTTCTCTGCTTCCTTTAAATAATGAATATGGCAGATTCTCCAATCATCTCCTCCACTCTGTAGCAAACACACATAATTGCCCCCAACAACCAATCCTTTTCACTATATAGACTCCTATGTCCTAACCCCTTAAGCTACTCACTTCCTTATTTTACCTTCTTGAATTCACTTCCAATACATATAACCATCAATATTTTGTCACCTTTTCTTCTCTTCTAACTTACCATCTTCTTCTTTTTCAATCTTTGTGATGAATCATTCTTCCTCTACAACTTCTGTTAATGGTTTCTACAACTTCCTCACTAGAGGACTTGACAATCTTGATCACTTATTCCTGTCTCAGAACTTCATGTCTTTCCATTTTCTTCAACATGTTTTGTCAACTTTGAGATCTTTTCATTCCCAGTTAACATTTCTGGTTCAAAAACTACATTTGCCTGTTGGAGAGAAATGGCTTGATGAGTACATGGATGAAAGTTCAAGACTTTGGGAAGCTTGCCATGTTCTCAAATCAGCAATCTCCAGCATGGAAAATTATTACACTTCTGGTGCCAATTTAGCTTCTTCTTTTGATGATCACAACATTTTAAATCCTCTGCTTTCCCGCCAGGTTGTTTTAATTTTCTTGGCATAATCAAACCATGTATCTATATCGAATTTTTTTGCATAAAGTTGTAATCTTTTTTCTTGATCATACAGGTTATTCGCGCGATAAATAGATGTCAAAGAGAAATAGTAGCACTTGAAGAAGAAAACAAGAGCTTAATGGAAACAAGAATGCAAGATTTATCATTGAGGTTCGACGAAAATATTATGATAGGATCAAAATTCAATGGATTCAGTGGCTTTAGAGGGGTGCTTTATGCAATGAAGAATGTCAGCTCATTGCTTTTGGCCATTTTGGTAAGTGGACTTGTATATTTTTGGCCAGAGACAAGTTTTTACCAAGGGAATGGTCATGAAGGGAACATGGTTTTCGGTTCATCTTTTATGGTTTCAACTTCAAGATTGCATCAGAGAGTAGTAGCAGAGGTGAATCAGGCAGAAGGGCAGCTGCCCGGAATCCTACTTTTCGAGTATCAAAGAGCAAGAGTAGCTATGGCTGAGCTGAAAATGGAACTAGAAAGAGCCAAGGAGTGTGGATTAGTATTAACACAAATTGATATCCAAGACAAGATTGAAAACTTGAAAGATTGCTTTGGAATGTTGAAATGTGGGGCAGAAAGCATCATTGGACAACTTGATGACTTCTTTGATGAAATAGTAGAAGGAAGAAAGAAACTTTTGGATATGTGCACTCATAGGTAAAGACAACAAAGAAAGAACAAATGGAGAAAGATGTGTGCAGCCATAGCCTTAGAGATTGTAGAAGTGTAAGGAATAACTTAGTGGAGTAGTTTCTTTTCTTTTTTTTAAATATTTTGGCTCTACTTCTTTTTATCCATCTCTCTCTCTATTTTGGTCCTTTTTTGGCATCCTAAAATGTCAATTTTCTTATTTTGCAGCTAAGTTTAGTCTTGAAAACTTTAGGAAGAAGTTTGCTCTGTTAAGTAATGCATGAATATTATCCTCAAGGAAAAAAACCAGAATGTGATTCTTCCTTTGAATAAAAGTAACATTACTAAACAAGAAGAATATGTTGGATAAAGATAGCTTCAGTAAAAAAGAAAAAGAATTCTAAAAAATATTTCCACTCAAGGAGAAGATTCTTCTCCTTATCATCAATAACTGGATCAAAGATAAGAAATGTTTGTTCTTGTTTTACTGACAAGGCCAGCAGTCAGTCACCTCAGTGGAATAGAACTGGAAGATTGATATGAATCACAATTGCCATATGCTACTTTTATTGTATATGCTCTTTATTCTATCAACATATTTAATCACTTATAGACATATACAGTTTGTTTATTTAACTGTCAATTCATACCCTACAAAGAATCATCCAAACGTACAAGATAGAGACCATCTATCATACGCCTTATACTTAACTAACAATGTTATTATATGGTTAGACCTAACTCGAGTTAGGGCATTCTATCGTTTCCCTCAATCGTTTCACTGTTAGATCGTCGTTTAGTGGTAAGAGAACAGTATATTATGTATGGGATAGACAGGCGGAGAAGGTTAGAGAAGCAGACCCATTATCTACTAACTTTTTAAGACGCGGCAAGACCTCCCTCTCCTCTCCCCCCATCATCAATTTAGAATGAACATTGTGATTACAATTCAACTACTTAAAGACCATCTACTCCCCAACCAAAACCAAGATGAAGATTATGATTATCCCAACTAACGTATTAAATTATACTTCTTTAAGGCAACGTCTTGATGTGTTGAGGAAACATAGGAGCTGAAAGAATAATTTAATACTCCTATGTTAGTAGGTATTGTCTTTAGGAGAATGAAGTTATAATAGACAACTTAGCTAGGTTTAGGGTTACTGAAATTGGAAGATGCTTCTTCTGTCAAATGGAAAAGAATGTGATACCACCTAAATAAAGTAAATAAAGGAATGATGCTTCCTGCCCACATGACAACTATTTTTAAGATAATGACAGCTGCTTAGTAATGTTAACAGAGATTAGATAGGTCTTTTTTACTTTGTTGGTCGGTCTTAATCGCAGCCAACAATCCTCTTTTCTTGCAATTAAGTTTGTCTAATTCACATTAACTAGATGTGTTAGAACCTTGATTAAAGATGTTAAACATGCTAAATCTTTGATTTATTAACAGCCTAAAAGTTGATGGGGGAAAGAAGTTCTTTATAGCTTTTTCTGATACGGCCCCATATTTGAATTTCCTTTCTTGTGAGCAATTCAACGATTTTCTTTAAGAGGAGACAGCTAACATGACTGGCATCAATTCAAACAGGAAAGCAACAGAAACAGTTCGCAAAAGGTACTGGAAAAAGGATTACTAATTCTGAACTTAAAACCATCAACGACTTCGGTTAAGGAAAGACAGTTTAGGTCATAGAGCAAGATGGGGGGGAGGGGAAGCTGAGATATCGAAAGTAACCAAAGGGTGATAATTATATTATTGAATTCTCAATAATAATACTAAAAAACAACTCTCAATTCACAACACTTCTTAAAGTGTAGACTTGACATACTAGAAATATGGGAGATTAAAAAAAAACGTGAGATGCTTTAGTTTTTTAATGTAATCATCAAGGGAGACTTTGAGCTAGTACTAGATTTTTTAATCCAATATACCTTGACTCAGGAAATTATTAATCATTCAAGTTGTGAAAAAGTGATGGAGAAGTGGGCGGAGACAAAGGGAAAAGGAAGAGAAGGATCATGAGATTCCTGGGCTAGCATTCATTTCTTCTCAAACACTAAAAAAGCAGTTTTTTTTCTTTTAACTGTAGGAGCTTTTGTCTGATTCCCAGAAAAGGGATTCTTTTTTTCTGTTATCAAGGAATTAAATGAGAGCAAATATGAAAAGAGTACTATAGCATGTGTAGTAATTGATTGTTGTTATAATGTTATTGTTGGTCGAATAAATGATGATGAGAAGAAAAGCAGCAGCTCTCTGTTCTGTGGGCAGTGCAGAGTGGCTGCTGTCAACAGAGTCTATACTAGGCGCTGTACTTGGGTATATCTTCTTGTATCTCAACCTAGCACCAGCTCTCTGACATGTCTCCTGTTTCCCTGTGAAATGCGATTCCTCTCTTTTTCTTCTCTAATTATTATCTTCTTTTTTACTTCTTTACAACTTGCAACTCAGACTTGTTCCTTTCAACTATCCACATCATGATTCTGGTTTGCCAACTTTTCAGTTCTTTTCCCAGATCTCCAGCCCCCAAGCCCCAAGGGAGGGAAAAGAACAACTTTCTTCTTTCTTCCTGCTTTTGGTCTACCTTATTGGACAATGTAAAAAAATTGCTAGACTTCGTGGAGACCCGATTTAAAGTCATGGCAACTAATCTGTGCCAACTCCATCCCTAGCATTAACCATGGGCTAGGCTATCTTTAGTAGATCGCAATCGTTTCAAAGGAGAAGGGATTTGTCAATGCATGTCTAATGAGATGAACATCTAGCAGCTCTTGATAGACCATAGAATGTATCAAAGAAGTACTTCACCTGATTATAATAGAGACAGAAACAAATGCTTATCCAACACCCTCTAGAAGTAGCTTCCTGTGATGCAATACCACCTGAGTCAACACAGAAAATGGAAGGCAGAACAATATAAAAAGGTAAGGAACTGGAAATTTGAGTCATCCTGCCAAAAACAACTACGACTAACAATTTTTCCAAACAATCCCTTAAATTCTCCTTTGTTTTTCTCTCAAGGTGTGTGTACATTCATTCAACCTTGTAATCTCTTCAATGAGAAAATTACAGGGTATATACAAGTTGAATATTAAAGATATAATAATATAGGTACAACCAAGAATAACGAGGACCCAAAACAACAGTCTATCAAAACAGCTATAAGAGGATGAATTGGGTCCCCCATGACAATACTATTAATTTACCAAACCCTCAACAAAAATACTGAAACTGTGGCAAGGTTCAGCTACTTGAGATTTGTCTTGGCACCTCCAGCCAACCTTGACAATCGTTAAGGACGCAAAATACTCCAACGTGACATATCATAAGTTAATCCAGGCTTTGAGCTCAAGGGACACTTAAAAATCATATCAAGCCGAGTCAATTACTAACCAAGAATTTGGGTGCACCGCTGTTCTCCCAATCCACAGAAAAGGTTGGTCAACCAACAAAAAAAGAATTTATCCACCAAAACGAGATTTCCAGCTAAATTATACTTCAAATCCAGGCATTGCAAACAGGGATGCAAAACTTTCAACACGTGTTCGTAACTCGATAACATCTTTGTTGTTCTCAAGGCCTTTCAGAAAAGCCTTTGCGAGCTTTCCATGTTCTCTCTGTACTGAATTTGTAATCTGCGCTGCCTTGAGGAGGAAATCTGTTATCGTCTCAAAATCACTCTCTATACAGCCTCGGGATGTCATAGCAGGGGTACCTGCAGTCAGAGCAAGAAAAAGTAATTACGCAAACAGCTTTCAACTCCAAAAAGTTGATATATGTGGCTCCACACCAAAAACAGACTGAACTTACCTATCCTCACACCTCCAGGGGTAATACTTCCATAATCATCGAAGACCATTACTTTGTTGAGAGTGATGTAACACAACTCGCAAACCTTTTCAAAATTCTTACCTGTAAAATAGAAGTATAAAGATCAGTACTAATACACTAAAAACGAGGCAAGTCAGCAAATGCTATTTAAGTCCCATTAAAATAGCAGTATCCGGTCCCAGATAATCCTATTGAAGCAGGCAGCATTTGGTCCCAGAATCAGTAAGCAAAAGAATTGGCACAGATTTAGATGGTACAAGTAAGCTACTTAAAGGCCTCGATTCTAGGCACATCGCGTCACTTAAGTAGCGCTCCAGTACAGGCACCACGCACCACAACGTCCATGGGCTCTCTCCTAAAGAGAATAGCACCAAACAAATAACTAGATGACAGCAATATATTAATTATCAAGAAATTTTTATGGACGGACAAATTAATGAATGGGAAAACAAATTAGAATTTATTAAAAGAAAATTACTCACCAATAATGAATTAGAAAAATGCTTGCCAGTCAGAATCAATATGATTTTTTAACTTAATTGACAACAACAACAACAACAAAAAACCCAGTGTAATCCCAATAAATGGGGTCTGGGGAGGGTAGAGTGTACGCAAACCTTTGACAATTTTTCTTTTTCATATTAGCCTTTCGTTCAGAAAAGCTCGTGCTTTCATTACATTGCTAGTAGACATTAGGTGCTTTTCTGCCTTTTCGCCTTTGACAATATTGAGTTGAGCTGCGTTATGCTAGGAGTTAACTCTCCTGGAAAACGCACATGACAGGCCATTGAACAATAGTACATGCTTATTTTTATATGTAAAATGTTCTAACTTTTATGATCAGTCAAACATATGCTAAAGCTAAAAAATATTACGTTACTTTCAAACAGTGATTTGCTGCTATGGTAGGACTTAACTTTCTGGAAAACACACCTCACATACCATTTAACAATATATAGATGCTTTTTTTGGAAATGCCAACAGTATATTTGCTAAAATTACTTTTTTTGGATACAATGATAAGCTAAAATTACTGTTTGAGTTACTTTTGTACATTAATCTTCGTCACCTTATCATATTACGTCCATGTTAACTGCTACCAACTTTACTCTCAAATTTCATGTAGGCATCTTTGTGTTCTGTTCAAATGCCAGAACAAACAAAGTTCGAGTACTAAGAGATGCACAAAAACAAATTTGTGCCTCCCACACAATCTCCATTTCTTAACAAGTACCCATTCTTAACAAGTACCCACTTCAGACTGTTCTTTTTTTTTTTTTTTTTTTGATAACCGTGGTGTCCGGACCAGCTTGCGCGCACCTCGACTAATTC